ATCCATAGTTGGCTACTGCGAAAAACAAGCGGAACAGCATCCCAGCACAGGCTCCCGTTTACCGGCTTAACGGTTACCACAACCGTTAGCCTTGTTAGCTTCAACCTAGCTAGCCAGTTAGCTTGCACTTTCCCACTTGTCTTGACTTGCCCGCGTCTTGATTTCCGCTAACCTAGGCGATAAGGCGCTAAACTTAAGACAGATAGTGGAAAGCAACACCCATGCTAGAAGGAGCAGTATGTACACGCAAAGGAGCAGACCACCTACCTTCAACCTGCTTAGCCCACCACAGACCTCAACAACCTTGGTTTCCCTTTAAAAAAAACAGCGTTTTCTTAGCAGACGATGCTAGCCGCTAAATGACTTCCGGTTGTGCTTTTCAAAATAAGACTGGAAGAAAAGCTTTATCGAATATTATACAAAGTACATTTCGGTTCTTTATCAGTACGGAAGAGGATTAGGGCCACATGCATCTTTTTTTTGTTCTGACTTTATTCTCAGAATTCTGACTTTCTTCGCAGAATTCTGACTATAATATCAGAATTCTGACTTTTTTCTCGGAACAAAAAAAAAAGTCAGAATTCTGTGAGAGACTTAACGTTGCAGTAGGCAACAATGGAGGACATGAGTGAATTTCTGTGCGCCAGAACGGAATTTTTTTTTGGCCTGAGAAAAAAGTCAGAATTCTGAGATTAAAGTCAGAATTCTGAGAAAAAAGTCAAAACAATTTTGTTCTGAGGAAAAAGTCAGAATTCTGAGATTAAAGTCAGAATTCTGACTTCTTTCTCAAAAAAATAAAAAATACCAGTCTGGGAATACTCAGTTAAGTAAAAGTCCTGCATTGCAAATGTTACTCAAGTAAACGTACAAATGTATTAGCATCAAAATGTACTAATTAAACAGATTGGTAAATTTTCTAATGATATATATTATACACTTTTGATTATAATTATTGATGCATTAATGTGTTCACAGCTGGTAAACATAGAGCTTATATTAATTACTTTGTATGCTGCAGGGTCATTTATATACAGTCTATGGTCATGCCTCACTTGTCAGCTCAACTGTCACTAAAGTCTAAAGGGCTAGGTACATTTGAGAAACCAGCTCGAGTGCGCTAGAATTTGAAAATAGTACACAACCGGAAAAAATCTGCCACTTCCTTACAGAGGCCCTCCTCCAACACACACGAACGCGCACATGACCAATTAGGGCACGAGATAAATTTGTGCACAGATGGAAGGCTGACAGGCAGGTAGGCCATCCAGTTATTTTAGTCGGGCCGGCTAAAATAATAATATAAGGTATACAATTAAATGCAGTGGAGTAAAAGTACACACTTTACCTCTGAATTGTAGTTGAGTAGAAGTACAAAGTAGCATACAATTAAAATACTCAAGTTAAGTACTATCTCACATGTGTACCACCAACCCTCTGGTTGTTAGGCATCCATTTACTCCTTCAGCCAAGGACACCCACCAGTAGCCTACATATTCCAGTCAAATTGTACAAGACTGGCTTCTACGTTTATTAGATTTACAAGGCGACACAAAGATATTGTTAAAAAACATTTGTTTGAACTCATCTCTCTGTTTCTTTCTAACTTTACCAAACTTCAGGTTTAGTTCCCGTTTAAAAAAAACAACTCCATTCTAACAACAAAACGGTTATCTCGATTGGGACATTCTGGCTATGACTTCATCATTTCTGAAATACAGCCGATAAATAGGATATGGCTGAGAGGACTTTGACTTTGAGTCAGTAGGTATAGGTTCAATCCCAGCCAATGGCTTCAATCCCAGCCATGCAGTTATCGTGTTGATTCCTGTGTATTGTGCTGCTTGTTAAATGGGTGTGTGATCTCACTGCTGGAGAAGAGCTTCAAAATCAAAGATGTCAAACCTGTTAAAAATCCCATCCCTTACACTCCTGTTACGGAGTATTAGGTAGTAGCAAAACCTTTAATAGCAACACCATTTTCAACGCTAATAAACATTTATATCTGGCTCTTGATGGCTCTGTGAAACACACAGCACAATATATTTAGTAAAGTACAGATCCCTAGGGGTTTTAGGGGTCTACATTGTCAAAAAGATCTCTGCATTTCATCCAAGGCTTTTTTTTTGCCATAGCCGTTACTTGCACAGGTGCAATTAATGACAGTAATTATCTCTGACACAAGACTCCCACCCACACATCGGTGCTGTCCAACCAAAGCCTCAGCTGCTCCTCTGGGGTTAAACTTCATCATAGACATTTAAATCTGTGACTTCATTCAGTGGAAAACAAATGAATACTGAGATGGAAAATTATAGGCAATTAATCAGAAGTGCATATGTGCATAGTATAATAATTTGCAGAAAGTGCAGTAAGTAAGTACTACAGAATGAGTGATGCTACAATTGACAAAGTACAGATGTTATACATGTAAATATATTAAAGATGTTTTAGTCAGAGTATAGATAGTCCAAATGTATATAATAGACAAATAGTAACATTTCCGAAAGTAGTAAAAGGTGCACTAGTTTTAGATAATACCCCAACATATTCTGATTATAATCAGATGTGATAAAGAAAAGCTACAAATCATCATATTTGAGAAGCTTGAATCACCAATTGTTTAGTTTTTTTTTAAATAGTAAAGATGAACTAATTATCAAAATATTTGCAGATTACTTTTTTAAATGCATCTACAGTAAACTAACTTGTTGCAACTTTCTGAGAAGCACACAAAATAAGAATGATACGGATTTCAAGTGTGTGCTTTTTTTCTATGTGCGCAATCACATCAACAAAGGTCAAGGCGGTTACCATTTATTGTGAATGAACAATCTGTGTTTGGATCCTCCAGCAGTAAATACCAGAGGATGTACAGTATGTGGCAGGATGCTTTATAAACCTACTTGAAGGATTTCAATTAAAGTTCCTGTTTACTAAGCAGCTTTGTGGGCACTGAATTTTGATCTGTAAATCAAATTGACCGAAACCTATAGACATTGAGAGCAGATTATGTTAATCCTACAATAAAGATATATATTGATGCTTTGTTTCGCAATCCTGTTTACATGACTATGACTGGGTCCAAAAGGAGAACATGTTGAATAGGAATCTAAATTAATTAATTATTTTGCAAAACAATATTTGGATTGGAGGAGAACACTTGACTTCAGGGGTGGCTGATTGTGTATTACAGTAAATAAAAAAACCCAAACAGGCAAGACTAATCTTTTTTGTCCACCTATGAAGTTTGTAAAGTAATTGACTTGCTTAAAGCAAAAATGTTCTAGATGTCTACAGTAGAAAAAGGCATTTCTATCAGCTAGGCTAAAAACAAGCCTTACTTATTCTGTTGAAGTAGTAGTATTTGTTTATTTGCACCGAGGGGAAAATGGGTTGCAGCACATCACAAAGGCATTTAAAAAGATAAGACATACGTCACTGACAACAACATAGACACAGATTAAAACGAACAGACATAAAAAACAACAGATATCGGCAGACATGACAATCTCATTTGCAAAAGGCCAAATGTTTGCTTTTGTTGTGGCTTAAACACAGACTTTGAACCTGAGCATATATGCAGACTACATACCTGATATGTTATTATTCACTAAAGTTAGGGTTACAAGATCAAAAATAAAATCCCTGTTTTTGGTATCTTTAAGCCCTAAGTGATGGTGTGGTACGGGAAAGGGAGACAAATCTGCACTCTTGAAGTGAATTCAACTTTTTTTAGAGAAGGTTTTTTTTAATTTTCTTTTTCAAAAAGTTAAATGGCCTCACTTAAAAGTTCATGAAGCCTTACAAATAATTTCATTCAGTCATATTAACATATATTGTTTTATCTGTGGCCTCTTTTTTGTTGTGTTGTGTGACCCTGTGACTTGAATGACAAATCCAATTCCCCTTATGTTCTCTTGACACCTAACAAGATACTCCCAAATGTAATCCTAAATTGTTATTACTAGTCCCTGGTGGTTGGTTCCAGGAATTTAAATAAAGGTGTACATACTGTATAGTTCATTATGTCATTGACCTGTGGCCGTGCCGCACGCCATCTCTGTTAATCAATCAGCAGGACAATAATCTGATATCCAATAAGAGGATTCAGCTGCAAGCTAAATTATGCTTCCAATTCCATCTGGTTAAATCTCTAAACCTGTCCGTTGAGTTAATGTGTTAATAATATGTCACAATCATGATGATAACTGTGTAAAATCCTAATGTAAAAACTAAAGATTATTTTCTGAGTCTGTGGTTTTGATTCACTTGAACTCTGAAGATTTCTGCACCTCCTCTGAATTAGGAAGTAGGCTAAAGCTTAAACCTTTATCCTCTTTTATTTATCTACCAGCCTCCCTTTGTTCCCCTCCAGTATCAGCACCTTAAAGCATTGCATATCAAAAACCAACTGAAACAAAGACACTTTAGCTGAAACAAAAATATTGCACAGTATTTTATGGAAGAAAATTATCACAGTGTTTTAGTTTTCCCCACAGAATAAAGACACCCAATGGTCTCTTCCACAGTTTTCCACTTGACTTTCTTGTGTAATCTGTATGGGATTGCAAAAGATTAAGGTATGGCCCAGTGGCTATGCATTAATAAAATAAATAAATAATAGGAAAAACAACAATGGTTTTTGTCTATTCTGTCTTTAAAATCGCCAGAAAAGTACTATTAACTCATGTCTTAAAAATATTTATTATTTAAAAGAGGGTGAATTAATGCATTTATTGACATACTCTACACAGCCAACATCATGTGAGCCAGGCAGCTCAGGAGGGGATAATAGTATTTAGATGTCCTGTAAGCATGCAGATCCTCTCAGTCAGCAACATTAATGGGGACAAGAGGCATGCTGCTCATGTCCTCAATGCTGAGGCATTAGACAGAAGTAATGCTGGAAGGTCTGAGCCCTCTGTCTGCTGTGTAGTTTGGGCTGGATCATCATGGGGAGCACCAGCAGGACGGCCAACTTGTTGAAAAGGAGACAGAGCCTCTTCCCTAACTACAAAGTTGCAGAGGTGAATCGAAGACCCTCAGAAATTGTTTATCCACTTGAAAAGGAAAGCTGCGTGAAGTCATGGACCTCTATGAATGAGCTGACCAGGGACATCTATGACATCTATGCCGAGTATGAAGACGAAGAGGAGGAGACTTCCCAAAAGCAGTTTTTCCCTTCCAAGAAGAACTACATGATCAACATCAATGTAGGGGGGAAGATCTACCAGATAGCTTACAAGACAGCAGCTAAGTATCCCACGACCAGAATAGGGCGCCTGGCCACATACACGGACCAAAACCTGAAGCTGGGCCTGTGCGACGACTACACTGTGACCAACAATGAGTACTTCTTCGACAGGGACCCCGATGTCTTTCACAACATCTTCAGCTTCTACAGGACCGGCGTGCTGTGGATCAGGGACGAGATGTGTCCCCGCAACTTCCTGGAGGAGATCCACTACTGGGGTGTGAGGATGAAGAACACAAACCGCTGCTGCCGCATCTCCTTCGAGGAGCGGCAGGACGAGCTGAATGAGCAGCTGAAGATCCAGAGGGAGCTGGAGGCGGAAGTGGAGATCGAGGAGGACGAGGAGCTCTTTCAAGACATGTTCTTGGGCTCGCAGCGCAGAGCTATCTGGAACCTAATGGAGAAGCCGTTTTCATCCGTCAAGGCCAAGCTGATGGCGGTGGCCTCCAGCCTGTTTGTCCTGGGCTCCCTGGTGGCGATGACTCTCAACACAGTGGAGGAGATGCAGTTCATAACTCCCAATGGTCAGCTCAGTGGTAAGACGTACTGGGAACATGTTGAGTCCATATGCATCGCCTTCTTCACTATGGAGTACCTGCTGCGTCTGGTGTCCACCCCTGAACTGAAATCCTTCTGCAAGAGCGTGCTCAACACCGTGGACCTCATCGCCATCCTGCCTCAGCATCTGCAGGCCTTCCTGGAGTTCTTCGACAACAAGGAAAACTACATGAAGCACGAGGCCGACATGCAAGCGGTGTCGCAGGTGGGAAAGCTGGGCCAAGTGTTGCGCATCATGAGACTGATGCGAATCTTTCGAATCCTGAAACTGGCGAGACACTCCACAGGTCTGCGGGCGTTTGGCTTCACTCTGCGTCAGTGCTACCAGCAGGTGGGCTGCCTCTTCCTCTTCATCGCCATGGGCATCTTCAGCTTCTCCGCCATGGTTTACACCGTGGAGCACGACATGCCGAACACTAACTTCACCAGCATTCCTCACGCATGGTGGTGGGCTGCTGTAAGTTCATGCTTTTTCTAAATGTATCGTGCAGAGGAGGAAACACTTATTTAATTGTGGGCCACATACAGAAAAAGTGTCTTTAGTATGACAATATATTCATAGTTTATAGTTACACTGCAAGCAAATGTGTTTCTAGGCCAGAAAAACATGTGCCATCTAATCTTTCTATCAAAATAACTATGCAACATTCCTTAACAGTTTACATTTTTTTGTCCACATACAGTAGGTATCACAAAAAGTGTTTCCTTACTTGCTCATGCTTTTTACTGTCCATACCTGTCTGATAAAACAAAATGCAATTTTCTGCATAAAGGTGGAACATGCCCCAATTGAGCACATGGTCAATATATAACAGGTCTTATATTTAGGACACTGCTGCTGTTGTTTGTTATTTATGTTTCTCCTTCCTGCAGGTCAGCATCTCCACTGTGGGCTACGGAGACGTTTACCCAGAGACCATACTGGGTCGCTTCTTTGCTTTCATCTGCATCTCTTTTGGTATCATCCTCAACGGTCTGCCCATATCCATCCTCTTCAACAAGTTCTCAGACTATTACGCTAAGCTCAAGTCCAATCGGTACACAGCCTCCATGAAGAACAGAGGAAAGGTGAGGTTAACCGACAGGACAGTGAAAAGGTTCAACCGCTGCTTTGAAACCTGACCCTGTGACACGTGCTGATATCTTACGTGACCTTTTATAAAGGAATATGGTTTACTGTGAAACTGTGCAAACAAAGGTGCATGTGCTGTGGACGAATAGATGAAACAGGGACAGAAGACGAGGGTTAAATCCCCAGTGGAAGCACATTTGGAAGTGTATTACAGTTAATTGGCACATCTACATTTTCTCAAAGTAGTTTGTATTTTTTTTTTAAAAAAGGACCAAAGATCAAAACACCGAGATTTTACAATGTGTCTACTGATGTCATAAAATATTCCCGTGAATATTGTTAATGCTTCCATTTCTATAATGCATTACAATCTCACAGATAACCCTGTATAACAATAATCATCATGCAATATAAAACATTGTATAATTACTTATAAGGTCAAGTTTCATACTAATGAATACTGTAATTCTCATTAAATGACATTAGGAACATAGTGTATTATTGTATTGTAATTAAGTGAATGCTTAGATTTGATATTTTCATTCAATGTGGGAAGTTGCTTTTTTGTAACTTAAAATTGAAATGTATGATATCTAAAAAGCAAATAGGATTTGTGTACTAAATTGTCATATTACACTAAATGCTGTCAATACCACACTGTTTGGGTGAAGAGTTAAAACTTTGCTGGGTCCTGGGCACTGGGTTATTAACGAAAAAGCCTTTATTATCACCAAAGCAGCTCTCACAGAATTGTTTTTACAAAATAACTCTTTGTCTTACTAATTTTTAAACATACACTTTTTAGAGACAGCTTAACCTAGAACCAGTATAGACCAGAGCCCAAACTTTGAGTTAATCTTTAATTGCAGGTGCAATGTTTGAATTATGTGTTCTCACACAGGAGATCTTCAGAGCGTGCAAAGTGTAAGCCTATACTACACCTTCAAAAACTGGAGCTGCTTTTCATGCATTTGCAATGTTTAAAAGTTAAGACTACAAATTATGATTTGAAGTTGCTTTGTATGCCAGTCTCACGTTGCGCTGTGAAACGCTGTACTTTTCAATTCTCCTCCTAATGCTGCGTGTTCATGTTAAACCGTCACCTGCACACTCCACTGACATCTTCTGGAAAGATTTGCTATTGCAAAACATTTCTCTGTGTGTAAAAAGGTGCACCGATCGAGTTCACCCTCTAATAAAAAATGGGAAACAACCTAGTATATATAAAGTATGAAGGTCTGGAGTGCCCATACATTCAACCCAATGTAATGAAGGTGTAAAGAAGTTCAGAAAAGGTCTGGTTAATCAATCAATCAATCAATGTTTATTTATACAGCCCAATATCACAAATGTTACATTTGTCTCAGTGGACTTCACAGTTTGTACAGAATATCAGTATGACAATACGACACTGTGAGCCTCTCCGCTCACACAGGGTTTAAATAGGGACGGAAAGAGCAGGTTGGTGGAACACAGGCGTTTATTAACTAACCCTGTGTGAGCGGAGAGGCTCACAGTGTCGTATTGTCATACTGATATNTAGTAAAGAATACATACATCAAATGTATTTGAGACAAATGCTGAAACATGATTCCTTTTAGGCTAGTATTATATATATTATATTTTGAGGTAGAAGAATCCGGATTTTGTAATCTTGTTTTTGGAATGTAGGTCTACACTACAGCAGCATTTCAGACCTGATTAGGCCGGATCCTTTGGCACAAAAAAAGAAAATGTTGGCCTATCCAATCACTGATTTGTACCATTCCGTTTTCAATTGAAAGGTCCATAATCCTTGGGATTCATTGTTATGTAAATCTCAGTGTATTTTGTATAATAATGGAAGGATAGTACACAATATGCAACATTATATTCAATTTTTTGCGGATGATACATTGATGTACTTTGGAGGATGTTGATCAAATTGTCCTCCTTGTTCATTTAGCTCTCTGCCCTGAACCTACAGATGAGTATACTGTAAACGGTTTTGAGTTACAGTAACTTGCAATTCAACAGATTTAAATACTTTAAAATATTTCTCTACTCACTCTTGCTGGGTCAAAGTCGGCTTTGACAGTGAAGCTGTCCACCACGCAGGAGGCCAGGCTCTGCTCCACACAGGCCAGCAGCAACATCGCCAGGGAGAACATTTGGAAGTCCATTCTGGCCAAAGAAAGTGAGCAGATTTTTTATTTAGTATGAACTTTCATTATTTTAGAGCAACTTGCTGAATCTGGCTAAAAGAAAACTCTTGCAACTCCTCTTTTAGTTTGTAAAAAAAAGCATTTGGTCCCCACAAAGCAGCGTGTTCTTACCTGAAGTGCTGAAGAAGTTTCTGTCGCAGTGTGAGCTGTGGTGAGGAGACGCCGTGTGAGCCTTTTTATATCAGATACTCAGACAGGCTCACTGATTATTTTCACTCCTTGAACCTAAATGCAGAGTTTAATCTATCGCTAATCCAGTTACCAAAATCCCCTGCTAGTAAGCTGTTGAACCCTCACATTCAGCGGTGTGTGGGTTTTATGTAATTGTTTGCACGGCCCTGTAATGGGATACATAACGAAGCGGTGACCTGAGCCTCAAGTCACACGTCCATGCCAAATGTTTACATGACCAAACTAGTGTTGATGGAGCCACTTGCAAATATAAAGTGTTGTGGCATCATACCTGCTGAATAAAAAAGTGATATAGTGCCGCAGAGTGAATAATAGATTAATTAAACATGAGATGAGATTTTATTTTGACACGCCAATCTTTTCTTGGTTAAAAAATGTTTTATACATCTTTAGTTAAAATGTTCCCAAATCTCTGGAAAGTATTTAAATAAAGTACAATGTCAAAAGTTTTCCTTTTTTAATCTACTTTTATTCAGACATGTAAGCAAAAAGTATGTAAAAACAAAGAAAAGGAAGCATTTCCCACATGTACCCCCACCGGAAAAAAATAAAAACCAATATGTTATGTAATAAAATAGTCTGCAGAATAATGACGCCCAGTCATGAGACGTCAGCAGAGGCTCAGGTGGTCACTTGCTCTGTAACGTGCTGTCATCTTATTCCCAAACGCTGCAAGAGCTTCAACCTGTAATCCGCGGGGGCAAAGTGTGAATTATAGAAAAACATCTGAGGTGTGTTACATGAAGTTTAAACGACTCACGCACCAGCATTGGAGCATACAAATGCCAAAGTGAGTACACTTTACAAAGGTTTAAACTAGAGTGGGGTATCTTACCTTAAAGAATGTTTGCTGCAACAGATGCATTTACAGACTTAATTTGCTTTTGCACTCAAAATGTCTCATCAGTATATTTTCCATTATTTTTCAAAGCCTTTTTTTAGACTTGCTTTTGGCCTCTTTTTATTGATTTCTTTAATCATTTGTAAAATATTTTTCCCTCTATCATCTATTTTGTTTTTCTGCTTTTCATTAATTGACTAATTTTGTCCTAACATGCAATATGTTTAAAATAAAAACTAATTATTTCATACAATATAAAAACATGCATTAGCTGATGCCTTAGTTTTTGAGTTCCATAATCTGTTGATATGGTGTATTTTAACTACTCTTACTGTAAACTACAGTAGTTGATAGTTAAGTAAACACCATGACAGTAAGTAAGCATGCCAGTAAGTCTGTACTGTGTTTATAGCTGGCCCTGGCATTGTTTGTACTCTAATAATAATAACCTGTCTTCAGTATATTAGGTAAGGTCTCCAGGCTTTGACATCCTGCACTGCTCAACCTAACACGTGACATGTCAACAGTATTAACTCAAACACAAACATCGCCGTAAGATGTGAGGGTTCAGTTGGTCTGCTGCTAGATACATGTTATCTGAGCAACTATACTGTCAGCATGGACCTTCACTGTGAAAAACATAAGACCCAAAAGTGACTGCAGGTATATTTAAAAAAGAAAATCCCAAATTGTATCAAACTATTGTGGGATTTTTTTGGAGTGTAAATAATTTCTTATTTAGAATATCTAGGCACTTTATCCACCAATGCTCAGAACTGAAGGAAATAATTTTTACAATCTCAGTAATCTTTCAAACACATACAACAGCTTTTAAAGTGCATGAATTGTGCTGTCTTTTTTTGTGATACTTGGCTCAGTGTTTGGGGCTTTGGATTGTTTGACAGACAAAACTAAATATATATTTGACATTACTTAATTATAGATTTAGTATATGAAATAGAATTAAAATACAACTTTGATAAATGTGTCTCATGTAGTTTGTGCACATTCACCTCTTATCGATATAATTAGCACTGTAATGCTTCTTACATGATAAAATACAGAAACACAAGTGAAGTAGATTTTTTAAATGTGAACCAGTGCTCAAAAAGATGTTGGCGAATAGGAAGCAACTGAACATTATCCAACAGCAACACGTGACAAACTTCTGCACTTAATAAAGATGGTGTTTTTCCATTTCATATCATTTTAATATAACGTCCATTATACCTGTACTGTGTCAGTGGCTGTATGGGAACACCAATTTTAACCAAAGGGCACAAAAAGGCAAACACCATAGTGATCATTTCAATTTGTATTTATGACATTGTTTCATTACAAACACTTTATTATCTTTTGAGTGAGGTTGCATTTCAAGTATTACAATGCCGAGTTCAAGATGGTTAACTTAAAATCACTGCATCTGGCAATCCAGGGAGGGGTTGTAATATACAAGGTAACCATGAATGCATCCAGAAAACAGGAAGTGTTTGACTAAAGGCTACTGGGCTGTTGTTATTCCAGGAAGAAGAAGGGAGAGGTTGGGAATATTACATGGAGATCTTCATCTGCTTTACTTCAGGATACTTTCTTGATTTGCTGTAAGGACAGAGAAAGTGGGATTAGTACACGTAGAATGGGTTGTGCAACACCAACTGTATTATAGTGTACACTGGTGTTGCCTTCACTCCCTGTTAATTGTACAGCATGCAAGTATATGCATGTGCAGACTGAACATTTCTCATGTAAAGGAAGCAGATATGGTTACCTTCGATCTCCTTGGCGATGCGAATCTTCTCCACAAGAGCCTTTTTCTCCTCCTCTGCTATCCTCTTATCCTCAACCCCAAGAGGCTTCAGGTACTCTATTTTAAAGAAAAATACATGTATTATGGGACATTATCTGAAGTATATATCCTGTTAAAATGCACTAAGCAAGAGTTGTATATACACATATACCTGACCAAAGCCTGAACTGTCACATCCCCGTTAATAAGATGCCGCAGGAACTCAAAAGACTTTAATATTTCATTTATTTTAGAAATTGCCATGTTGCTATGAAATCAAAAAAGGCAGCTAAGCTTAAGCCTACCAAGTTCATTACAATATATAACTCTTGTATTTATTTTGCAAGTTTATCAGGAATCAAATGTTACCTATTGTATTACGTTTTATTTTGTGTGTTTACATGATAGCAATCACTTAATGCAACTTTTACCAATATGAAAACATTATCTTATACACACTTAACTCTGTTTTCCTTGCATTACCTGCTATATTGACTTTATTAGGGCACAGCAGACTAGAATATATCCTAAATCAAGAATCCACTTCAAATCAAATTAGGACCCCAAGAATCAAAATCAATTGATGGAATCCAATCCACTGGTTTGGAGTCTAAACTCTTCTCTTTATTGTTGGATAACACAATGAGTACACAGTGGTAGTTTAAACTCATTGCACAGTTCCAGTAAATAATAAATAAGAACTTACCATATCTCTGTTTGCCATAGATGATGCCGGCAATCAGAGCTGAATACCTTGCGGTCTGTGAAGGACAAAACCATGCAAATGAATGCCAATGTTACATTTCCTACCAATTAAATGCATTATCAGGTGACATATCTACAGACCACTACGTAGCTCTTGCTTTAGAAGCTGTTGTCATCATCACTTAGCTTGTTATAATGTTACTACACCCATTGATCTCTTTACAGTGCTGCAGGAATGTATTGAGACCTTGGTCATGTCACTGGTCATGTCAAACTACAAATTTAAGAGAGTTTCCAGATTGGTTAAGAGTTTCATTCTGCCAAAACAGTTTCCACTGAGGAGCATTGGTTTCATTAAAATCTTATCTACTTTAACAGACTGTCCACCTGTTTACAGTGTCACCCCCAAACAGTAGACGACAGCAAGGACAAATCGAAACGAAAACGCTAGTAACAGCTGGAATTATTAACGATTCATTTTAGGTTAACTTGGTTTAAACCAAGATAAAAGATGCCATAGTATTTATATAATGTTTTCTAATAGAATTAAGTCATTTAACCCAAGGACATTAGCAACATGTTAGCTTAAACGTTACGTCGTTTCAATTGAGACACTAAAGTGTGACTGTTAGACATCAACGTCGAGGGTGGATGCACATCACAATATACAATACAATGAAACAAATGCATTGTTAATAAAAACACATCAATTAAAGGATTAGCTTTTGTTTGCCTAGCAACAAGCTGTAGTAACGTTGTAAAGTTAAGACTAACGTTAGCTGCTAGCATGCTAATAGTTAGCTTAGCAGGATAGAGTGTGCTGTGTAGCTAGCGAGCTGGAATAGGATTTCAAAATGTAATTACAGCAAAACATGAGTAACTTTCCACACATTATATACTGCAAAACAAACCTTTATCAGAGGCGACACTGCAACTGGGGGAACCATCGTGGTAGAGAGACTGACAGCACCAGAGGTCACTTCACAACGGAGGAGAACGTCTTCTTCGGTGTGAGGATTTACTGCAGCTGCGGTGCTCTTTATTGAACTACCGCCGCTTGCTGGAGGAAATGACCAACTTCAGGGGCAATTTATGGAGGGGGGCAAGGACGGAACCTACTAAAATCAAAAAGGTAATACAAAAAATGTAGCAATTAGAAATGTGATAGTGTACTACGAGATTAACATACATTGTACTGTTCTTTATATGATATTGAACATTATTACATTTACTAAATTCCTTTTTACATTCAGTTTTTTCCTTTTCAAAGAGTCCACCAAATAAATAGTTTTTGTTTTGCTGTCTTTTAAAAGTTCTTAATGTATATATTCTAGCCCTATATTTCAACTTGCCAAATCCTACCTATGGGTTTGTACAACATGTTGTAAACAGTGTATGAGGACTTCCTTCTAAAAAATAAAACATTTGAATACTTTATTTACAAAAACAAACAAAGATTCAGAAAACACAGTCATTATGTGATGAATTATACAATCGGTTGACCTAACCCTTTAAATGTAGCACTGAGGGGTTCTCCATACATTTATTCAGGGTGAACAAGCCTGGTTTCATGAGCACTTTTGTGTTTTTGTTTTATGCATTTGACTGCCACTCAGTGGTCATTTTAAAGCATTGCAAGAATGTCTACATTATTTTGCCTAGGAGTCCATCACGCTGTGTTAAAATCACCAGCAGTTATAAGGTGCTAAATAACTTTTTAGTATAAAACAAAGAAAGATCCAAGGCATTGTTTTGGCAAAAGTTAAGAGGCCTTTAATCAATTTAAAACTCAAGGACATGCTTGTACATGTTAAATGTTTTTTTGTGACTTTTAACCTTGTTGCTGTGGTCCTGGATCCTGAGTCCTGCCTCCTGAGTCCTGGATTTCGAGTCGTGGCTGAACCGGTCTCTGCGGTCCTGCCTGACTCTCATCATACTACTTCCCTGATGGCTCCCACAGGATTGTTGACATCCTCGTGGATTCATCTTCTTATTATAGACACATGCATTTCCAAACATTTGTACTATGTTGTAAATGTATTTCCCTCCTCTGATGCTCTCCCTGAGGTTTCTCCCATTTTCCCCACTAAACTGTGGGGGTTTCTCTGGAAGTTTTTCCTTGTACGATGTGAGGGTCTAAGGACAGAGGGTGTCTGTGGCAGCGGGGTGTGGTTTGGGCGCTGGCTGCTGGAGTGAAGGGAGTGGCTCGGCCGGAGGCCAGACAGCTGATCGGAATCAGGTAATCAGTGCGGGAAGAAAAGCATGTCGTAACCTGGTTCTGGTCTGTTATGCAGTATGCGGGATCCTGGAAGGTCGCCAAAGGACCTGTGAAGTTTCCCACCCGGGCAACGTTTGAGACCCGCGCATATTTTTGTTTGGAGTTAATAAACGCCTGTGTTCCACCAACCTGCTCTTTCCGTCCCTATTTGAACCCTGTGTGAGCGGAGAGGCTCACAGTGGCGCCTGAACAGGGACATCATGTCGGAAGGAGAAACCCCACTGGGTCAGGCCCTCCAACGTCTCGCTCACATGCAGGAGACCACCACAGCATTACAGCGACAGCAGAGCGAGGCTCTGCTCGGGATTGCCTCGAGCCAGCGCGAGGACCGGGCTCTCCTACGGGAGCTGCTGCAGCATCCGGCCGCTCGGGAGGCCGATCCCGCTACCAACCCGGCCCGACCGCCTTCAATTGCCCTCCAGAAATTGACGGCAGAGGATGATCCGGAGGCATACCTGGACATCTTTGAGGGCACAGCGGCGGCGTGCGGGTNTTTGTCTCAAATACATTTGATGTATGTATTCTTTACTAAAATCTGGGGTATAGGAATTACATTACATTACATTTAGCTGACGCTTTTATCCAAAGCGGCTTACAATAAGTGCATTCGACCAGGAAGATACAAACTTGAAGAAAACAGAATCATATAAGTACATCAGGTTTCATAGAGTTAAAACATTTCAAGTGCTACTCAACTGGCTTTAGATAAGCCAGTCCTTTATTAGTATACTAAGTGCTTTGTTAGTAATTCTATCGCTCGAAGTGGAGTCGAAAGAGATGAGTTTTCAGTCTGCGCCGGAAGATGTGTAAGCTTTCTGCTGTCCTGATTTCAATGGGGAGCTCATTCCACCATTTTGGAGCCAGGATAGCAAACAGACGTGTTTTTGCTGACGGGAACTTGGGTCCCCCTCGCATTGAGGGTGCAGCGAGCCGTTTTGGCTGATGCACAGCGGAGTGCACGTGCTGGGGTGTACAGTTTAACCATGTCCTCGATGTAGGAAGGGCCGGATCCATTCACAGCATGGTACGCAAGTACCAGTGCCTTGAAGTGGATTCTAGCAGTTACTGGAAGCCAGTGAAGGGAGCGGAGGAGCGGCATGGTGTGGGAACATTTAGGAAGGTTGAAGACCAGACAAGCCGCTGCATTCTGGATGAGCTGCAGAGGTCGGATGGCACAGA